TTGTTAAAGTGCTTGGAAATGAGTGAGTGCAGACTGGCCAGATGATTCAACCAAATATTATGCAGTTCATCTTCATGTGGTGCTGACCAGTTCTTGATCTTCCTTGCCCTTTTCTCTACCATTTCTGCTGTTATTAGAAGTTCTTTTATTTCAACTTTTTTCCCTTCTCCACTTCCGTTATCCAAGCTGTATTCTTGTTGTATTTCTTTGTATTGTTCTATATTGTGCCCAGAACTGCACTGTTTTTTCTTGTCAGATGTTGGATGGTTTGTTGCAGTCACTCCATTGATGAATTGGTAGAAACTTTTCTGATTAGACTAAAATGGGAGACTCTGGCTGAAAGGTGCAATTCAAGCTTTGTACCTGCCTATTTTCTTAGCTACGCCTGTTATTTCCTGCTTTACTGTTTCCAGGACTTACTTGATCTCCCTTGTCTCTTCTTGTTATTTCTGGATTGGATATTATTTGGTCTTTCCTTCCTTTTCAGCTTTTTTTCTTTCATCTGTTGTAGCTTGATTGCATCTGATTTTAATATACTGATCTTATTTTCTTGCCCAGTCTTCCATTTTAGTGGTGGTGCATAGTTTAGGTTTTTTTCTTGTTATTGGTTGCTTTGTATCCAGGATTTTCAGTTATAACTGCAGCTGTGTTGTACATCACTTGGTTTGTTTCTTGCAGTGAGCTAGTGCTTATATTTGATATTACAATATTGGCATCTTTTAATACTTTGGCTAGCTGGGTTTTTTGTTTTTGTTTAAAGCAGATTACTTCATTCTGTTATTTTTATGCTATTCTAGATACTCAGTTATTCTTCATTTCAGTTCCTCTTATTTTTCAATTGCAGGACTTTGTTCTTTCTGAGGAGAAGGTAGAGAAGAAGGTACTTTGTTTGGGAATGAGAATGGTTCATTAGCAATGCTGGCTTTCTCTATTACCAACTCCTCATTTTCCTCTTCTGTCTGAGCTACTTCTAGCAAGACTTCAGGGTTTATTACATTGGGCAGACCTTTGCAGTTCTTCTAATTCTATTTCTGTAAATACTTTATTTCATATTATAAATTGATACTGATATGCTAGCCCCTGCCCTATTATTATTGATTCTGGATGTAGTTCTTTCTAGAACTGGTGCATTCTTTTCAAATATCCTCTTCTCACTGGTCTTGATTTGTAATAGCAAATTGTTATTTTTTTTGTTTTCAGTCTTTGTATATTTGCGATGGGTAAGCAACTCTTCTTTCAATAGTCCTGCTGCTTCTGCTCCTGATTGCTCAGCTAATAGTCCTGAGTCCTATAGCCCACTTGTCACCTGATGTCCAAGATCTCCAACACTGACCACAGTCCTAGTTGACCCAAGCAAGGACTGATACAGTCTAATTTTCTGTAAGTTATATGTCCCCATACTGTTTACAGGAGAGATAACTTCATCTGGATCCTCAGATGAGACCTGTCCAGTATGGTTGAACCTCTGGGATAGCTCTCACCTTCCTCAGAGCATGCAAGGTCCATGAGCATGTGCTTCACTAGAGGATTATATTTTTTATCCCATCTTTTTTATCCCACACTTGTATATCTATAACTCAAAGCAGCAAACATACCTACTCCTGCTTACTATTTTCCAACAACAACTCTGGGAACTGAGTGGGGCTGAGAGAGAGTGATAACCCAGTGACCCAGCTGGCTTTCATATTTAAGTGAGGCCTCGAATGAAATCCTCTGCTTTCTAGGCCAGCACCTTAACCATTACACCTATAATATTTTTTTATATAGTAAGCTGTTTTTTTAAAAAAAAGGGGTGGAGATGACCACATCTGTTTGAAGTGTTCATCAAATGCAAATTTTGTTAAAAAAACAAATGATGAGGACTGGCTGAAGAAAAATGTAGTCCAAGATGGAAAATATCAGTTCTTAATAAATAAAATCAATATTGTATGTAATATTGTCTTGTGATAACATTTTGATGGGAAAAAAACTGTAAATAGCAATTAAGCAATCTGTTCCCTCACACTAAGTTTTTTAAACTATAATTGTTTAATTCTTTTTCTGAATGTCATATTTTCAAGATCAATTGAACATAAATGTATGAATCTTTATAAGGGAAATAACTTACTGCAAATAGTTTTGAAGACTCCTGGATAGGGTAACAATTTGTTTAACATCTTTTCCAGCCATTTTATGATAAATTATGTAGTACAGGTAGTCCTCGACTTACAATCATTCACTTAGTGACCATTTGAATGTACAATGGCATTTTAAAAAGCGATTTACAGTCAGTTTCATACTTACATCCATTGCAGCAGTCCCAAAGTCACATGATCAAAATTTGGGTGCTTGACAAATGGTATGTACAGTGTTTAAGACAGTTGAAGTGTCCCGTGTGTGTGTGTGTCATGTGATCACCATTTGCGATGTCCCCAACTGGCTTCCAACAAGCAGAGTCAATGGAAGAAGCCAGATTCACCTAATGGCTACGTGATTCACTTAACTGCAGTGATTTACTTAACAAGTATCACAAAGTTTGTAAAATAGGATGTGATACACTTGACAACTGCCTTGCAATGGAAATTCTGGTCATAGGTTGAGGATTACCTATAATTATAAATAATAGCAGGGCAAACTGATAATGTGCTACTCCTTCTATAAAAGTTATATAAGTTAAAAACTCAAGTTCTCCAAGTTATAGAAAAAGAGAAAAAAGATCTTATTGTCAGCCACAGAATGAGCATTAAGTCAGAATGCTGTTAATAAGCAATAAATGTTGCTTTGGAATTAAAACTTACATTCTTTTAACTGCAATGGTCATTTTCATGAAAGAAATAATTTGTGCACAAAAGCTATTAAATAGAATAATAATCATAAGTTTTGATTTCACTTACCTTTCCTTATTTTATAGTTTTGAGAGTTAAAAATAAATAAATGCATGCCTACATAAAATCAGCTGGATACTTAAAGGATATTTAAAACTAAAATATCTTCTATTTCAGTCTGTATGTATGACAATCTTTCACATGCTTAATGATGTTAATTGTGGAAAGTATATCTTCAAGACAAACATAAAACCTGTTATATTGTTATTATAGCTCCTTCTTAAGCTTAAGGTACAGGACATGTGATTTATGATAAAGTGAAACTATCTTTCTTTTGTTCATTCTTGTGACGGGAAACAGATGAGAAGTTTCTGTTTCAGAAAAATCCTTGCCAATCCGGTTCTTTTTCTTTCTTATAAAGCCAAATGACACAACAGTCTGAAGTCCACGTCTCAGCCATTCTAGATGGAGAGCTTGTAATAATCTACTATTATATATTACACATTGTTTTTGTTGTAATATGTTATGTTAGACTATCATTTGCCCACATTTATTTTCCCAACCTGAAAAATAGCTTTCGAGACAAAAGTAGGAAGGAGATTAAAAAAAAAGTTAAAGATGGCGGCCAATCATACAAATGAAGCCCCACCCCTTTTTTGCACGAGTCAGAACACATATAAAAAAAGGAGAGGGCTTCAATCGCATGGTTTCAGCAGCCATATTGATTTTTTTAAAGCCATCCCCTGCTGATATCTCTGGTTTAAAAATCACTGGACATTTCTTTAGCTTTGTTTTTTGTGGTAGCATTCATTGTATGATTGATGGTTGTGCTTTCATAGGATGTTAATATTTCAGCAATTTTTATAATGTAATGTGGCTTTATGGGTCAGTATCCAATTCTCTGAAAATTCAAAATAGCCCTCCAGCAATGAACTTACGTAGTATGTATATATGGACAGATATGTGTGTGTGAATAACTATATCCCTCCTTCCCATAATAAGATTCAGAGAATCATGGATTTAATGTGAAAAGCTTTTTAAAAAATGAACATCAATTTTTAAAAACTGTTAGTATTTTTTATCTCATATTTTATTTATTTGCAATAACAAAATCATTATTTTTATATATTTCTAATAAAAAAGAAAACAATTGTCTGGAGAATAACAGTATTCCCAATTTATTGATATGATATTTGTTTTGGCACTGAAATCTCAAACTAAGGTACACACCTGTATGGGTATCTTTACAATATAGATACATTCTTCGAGATAGCACTTTCCCATTTCTGTATCCATTACTTATCCATGCATCCATTCAAGCTATTTTTGACATCTTGGCCCCGTCTTGCTTTGAAAGACAAAGTAGTTCAGGGAAATGTGCTCAAAAAGCAATCCAAAAGTCAAGCACAATTGTTCGTATTGTATAAAAAGCAAATTAACCAGGTCAGAACCCAAGGCATAGTCGGGAGAGATGAATCACAATACAGAATTATGGTAATCCTGGGAGCCAGAACTAACTGGCACCGATCGATAAATCATGCTTTAGTACTGGACTGCTGCAGTCTTGCTAGGCCTCAGCTATGAGGTTTGGAAGTTACATTTGAGGAGCCCTTCTCTAAAATCTAGAATTTCTGTGTCTATTCCCCCTTGATGACTCTAAGGCATCTGCATTTCTTAGCTCAGTGTCATAATTTCTCTGGATATCAATTTGGTTGGAATTTAACATATATTATTTCTTCTTGCCTTGTGATTTTTTGCATTTATAATAATGACTCTTTGTATATGTTTATTGTTTTATTAATTGCTGTACATTGTCAAGCGTCACTTTTTGTGAGATGGCAGCCATACACGTTTGATATATAACTAAAATAAATATATCAAAAATAGTAGAGTTCATGTGGGTTGACTCTATATTCTGGTGTCCAAATTTCGGCGATGGAATTGGCAAATATTATCCAGAAAATTTGTGTTTTCTTTTTTCCAATGTTTGCTAATATTCCTTACTGCCAGTATGAAACCATTGGAAAAGCAATAACATTGTGCAGGCTACAAATCATATTTTTTATATACACATGCCTGCATAATCATATGCGTGACACCTCTATTGCTGTGTGCATTTGAGAGGCTAATATTCCTTTAAGAACTTCAACAGGTGGATGGATGTGCAGGGCTGGAGTTAAGAGGAGGTCTTTAAATACTTTCAGTTCTTAAGAAATTCAGTATTGCACCAGCCTACTTAGTTAGTCCAGGGAAAAAAAAAGAGAATTGGATCAGTGACTTTCTCTGCTCAGCTAAACCTGGACAGTGAGTAATGCTTCTTTACTATTCCATTCCTGAAATTATATAGATGTCTGTAATATGATTCTTAAAAGCAACAACAAAATCCCAAATTAGAAAACAAAAAAGATTTTGAAAAAGTGCTAAAGGCTCAGAGCTCATAATTAATTTCTAGAAACAATCAGCCTGTATGTATATTAGAATAGTTAAGATTGTTCAATTATCAATCTAATTATTTTCATTCTTTTGTATATACTCTGTCTGCATCAGAAATAATTATGAGAGAGTAACAACTCACCAGTTGTAGAGGACTTTTCATGCAGGTATTTGCATACATTTCAATTATGCTTCCTTGAGGTAAGCCTATAAAAGGAACTCAATTCTAGTAGCTCCACTTTAGCTTAAGTGAATAAAAAACTTGTGTTCAAACAATAGTTGCCTTCCAGGGCCGATAGAGATACTTATAGAATCTTACTGTGTTTAGTATTTATTGTTCTGTCACAATCTGAGTCTGGGAAGGCTTAAAATACCACTCATTTGTTCTGATGACTTGCAGTGGCGAGGTTGAAGTGGTCTCTGCTATAGCCATAATACAAGAGTCAGCAAGTAACTTTCCAATTGTTATTGGACTGCAGATCCTGTAATATTTTATTTCTGATGCTGTTCATTAGATCTGTTGAGAACTGGGGATCAATGTATTTGGGGGGAGGGTCATAAATCAATTCCTAAGTGCATATTTTGCAGCTTAGGTCAGCATGCGGCTAACCAATGTTTGGATATTTGCTCGAATTCTGAACATACATGAGAGATTATTTTATTTCACTCATATATTTCTTAATGTGGATTAAAGTCATGTTTCAGTTGTACTGCAATGGGATCTAGTGGATTATAATCAATTAAATATTTTTGTTTTTGTCCTGTCCCTTTTACAGTGATGCCATTCAAATGTATAATAATAATAATAATAATAATAATAATAATAATAATAATAATAATAATAGTAAAGTTGGAAGGGACCTTGGAGGTCATCTAGTCCAACCCCCTGCTCAGGCAGGAAACCCTATACCATTTCGGACAAATGGCTGTCCAGTCTCTTCTTAAAAACTTCCAGTGTTGGAGCATTCACCGTTTCTGGAGGCAGGTTGTTCCACTGGTTAATTGTTCTCACTGTCAGGAACTTTCTCCTTAGTTCTAGGTTGCTTCTCTCCTTGATTAGTTTCACTCCGTTGCTTCTCGTCCTGCCTTCAGGCACCTTGGAAAATAGCTTGACTCCCTCTTCTTTGTGGCAGCCCCTGAGATATTGGAACACTGCTATCATGTCCCCCCTCATCCTTCTCTTCATTAAACTAGACATACCCAATTCCAGCAACCGTTCCTTATATGCTTTAGCCTCCAGTCCCCTAATCATCTGCCCAGTATGCCATTCAAATGTTGCCAAGACCTTCAGCAGCAAACACTGTGAATCTTTCATTAACTAATTTCTGTAGTAATTTATCACTTGGAAAGAAGACTTACAGTAGGCTGCTTAGGCTGAAGATTTATTGGAAACCATCTAAAGGAATTTTGTTCAAGCTGGAAATTAGAAATCCCATTAAATTTTTGATATAAGCGGAATGCAATAGAAATGTACAGTTGCAGGAAATTTACCAAATTCTACACATTTTTTTTTAAATTTTTTTTATTAAACTTCCTATTGCATTGTGCCAAAACTAAAATCTAAAACTAGATCCAAAAGCAATCCTAAAGTTAAGCCTAATTGTTCGCACTGTATAAAAATCAACTTAACCAAGTCAAAACACAAGCCATAATTAGAGGACATGAATTATAATGCCGAACTATTGTAGTCCTAAGAGCCAAAGCTGAACAGGCAGGGAGACAAATTATAAACAACAAATCGCACTTTAATAGTAGACTGCTGCAGTCTCACTGCACCTCGGCTATGAGATTTGGAAGTGACATTTGAGGAGCTCTTCTCTAAAATCTAGCATTTCTCTGTGTGTTGCCCCTTGATGACTCTTGATCATCCCTTCTGGATATAGAATTGTAATGCTGGAAAATACCTTGGAGGTCTTTTACTCTAACCCGCTGCCCAAAGTAAGAGTCTTTATATCATCTCAGACAAACGGTTGTCCAATCTTTTCTTGAAAACTTCCAGCAATGGAGCACCCACAACTCCAGGAGGCAAGCTGTTCCATTGATTAATCATTCTCATTCTCAGAAAATTCCTCCTCATATCCATTGCTTGCTGTCCTGCTTTGGAGAATAAATCGATCCCCTCTGTAACATCCCTTCAAATATTGGAAAACTGCTATCATGTGACCCCCTAAGTCTTCTCTTCATTAGGCTAAACCAGGGGTCTTCAAACTTGGCCCTTTTATGACTTGTGGACTTCAACACCCAGAATTCTGGGAGTTAAAGTCCACAAGTCATAAAAGGGCCAAGTATGAAGACCCCTGGGCTAAACATACCTAGTTCCCTATTAGCCTGGCTGGAACTACCATCTATTTTCTCTTTTGTGTCTTGCAGTTGTTTACATTTGTTAATAGTAACTGTATTTTTATGTTTATTATTCATTGATTATTATATACTCTTCAGAGTCACTTTTTCTGAAATAGGCAGCCATATAAATTTGCTATATTAAATAAAGAAATACATACATACATATATACATACATACATACATATGTACGTACGTACATACATACGTACTTATATAAGCAGACCCAATGCCTCTTCCTGTAGAAAATCAGAGCTGTGGTCTTCCTAAACTTAATTTTGTTTCTGGAAGGCAACTAGAGTATAGGGCCATAACTGGCACTAAATATCAGCTTGATGTTCTGATTTAAGCTCCTGATTTTGATTTCTTGATTCACATTCTCATGTAATAGCAAAACAAGAGCAGCAAAAAGTTTTGGTTTAAGAAGAGTTGGAATTGCAGTACAAATTTCATCTGATGAATAACAACAACAACAACAACAACAACAACAACAATAACAATAACAATAATAATAATAATAATAATAATAATAATAATAATAATAATAATAATAATAATAATAATAATAAAGTTGGAAGGGACCTTGGAGGTCATCGAGTCCAACCCAGTTCAAAAATAAGGTGCCTCCTAATAATTCCGCTGATTAAGAAGACCCTAGAATCTTGTCCTGCCTTGATTCTGGTATCCACATTTGTTTTACAGAATTGGCAAATATTATCCAGAGAAGTTGTGCTTTCTTTCTCTCTTTGTTCATTACTATCCCTCACTGCCATTATGAAGCCATTGATAGGGCAATAACATTGTGCAGGCTATGGATTACAGCATAATAGCACTATGCAGGCTACAAAAAATAGCACAATAACATTGTGCAAACTATAAATCATATCTTCTACATATAGGTGTCTGCACAATTATATGCACAATAGCTCTATTGCTGTATGCATTTGGGAGGTTGATAATTTCTTTAAGAATCTCAACAGATGTACAGAGCTGAAGCTAAGGGGAGGTCTTTAAACATTCATTTCTTAAGAAATTCAGTATTGCACCAACTGTTGTTAATGAGTTGAGAAACACAAAGAGAGAAGTGCTTCAAGATTTCTTTTTTTAAAAAAATAGGAGGATTGAAAAAAAGAGGATTTGGATCAGTAATTTACTCTGCTCAGCTAAGCCTTGATAGTGTGTAATGCTTCTTCAGTATTTCATAGCTGAAATTACATTGATGCTTGTAATATGGTCCTTAAAAACCAGCATCAAAATCCCCCTAAGCTTGCCCCAAACAAAACAGATTTATAAAAATTACTTCCAAGTGCTAAAGCTTTGGAGATCACATTCAAAAAATTCCTAGAAAGGATCAGCCTGTACATACAGTATAATGAAATATTTACGATTGTTCCAGAGCTGTTTTTTGTAATTACTTTCAATATTTTGTATATAACCATTTTGCATCAAACAACATTTATGGAGAAGTAGCAAAGTTATCAGTTGTAGAGGAATTTTGATGCAAGTACTGTATTTGCATACATTTCGTAACCAGAATTTGGGAAAATGTTCGGGGTATAGCCAAATTCTTTGTAAGCTACATGCTAATCTGGGCTGCAAAATGTGCACTTAGGATTTGATTTATAAACCTCAAAATACGCTGATTCCCAGGTCTCACCATATTTAGTGAATAGTATCAGAAGTAATATATAACTAGAACTACAGTCCAATATTATTGTTGACCCCTGCATTATGGCTATAGTAGGCATCCCTTCAACTTCCCCTCTGCAAGTCATCAAAGCAAATGAGTGACTGATGTTTAACGTCTCTCTAGACACCAGGTTTCAAATTTGTGACAAAGTAATAAATACTAAATGCATTAATATTCTGTTAAAATCTTTACTAGCCTTTTAAGGCAACTTAGTTTTCACACAAGTTTTGTATTCATTTAGGCTGAATTTGTCAATGTAGCTACCTAGAAGTGAGTTATATCAAAGATTGTAGATTTACTTCCAGGAAGCATACAGGTAATCCTTGACTTAAGGCCATAATTGCAACTGGACCCATTGTTACTAAGCAATGTGGTCATTAAGTGAGTCATCCTGTGACCACACCCAATTTTACAATCTTTTTTGCAACAGTTGTCAAGCAAACCCAGTTTCCCCCATTTGTTTATCTGAAGTGGCTAAGAAGATTGAAAATGCAATCACATGGTCCCTAGGACACTGGGTTTGCCAAGCACCCAATTTGTGATGATATGATCATAGGAATACTGCAACAGTCATAAATGCAAAGACCAGTCATAAATCACCTTGTTTAGTGCCATTGTAACTTTGAGCAGCGGTTAAACAAATGGTCGTAAGTCAAGGACAACCTGTAATTCTGAGAGAATAAACATTCTAATTCCAGTTCCATGTATAAGGCTTTAGAACTTAAAAAAATAGGAATATTAAGTTCTGCTCAGAGTAATATTGTTATGGACATATGAGAACCTCAGCTATCCAAGAAAGAAAGAATCCTTCTCTCTGAATCACCCAAATATATGAATATG